TGAAGTCCTCGCTGCCCCGTGTGGCCTCTTAGTGCTTTCTCACCCGTGCGTCAGCTCTGCCCCACTTCACCCCACTTGGCGGCTTTGCAAAATGGATTTTTGGATTCGCATTTTTGCCTTGGAGGTTTTCAAGAAGCACCTGATGTTTTAAAGTGTGTCCGTACAATTTCTGCTCTCTCTGCCGATTAAGAGGGGCCTCTTCATGCTGGAGCCTTACTTTCAGCCACTCAACCTCGGTGAGAATGCCGGTGACCTACTCTAAGCGATATTTGAATATAGGTCTTTTGTTGGGTGAATGTGGACCTGGAAGAGTCATTTTTTTCCACCCTGCACATTTGCTGTTTCAGTAAATCACTCGTTTTCTCATACTTTTAACTTGTATTGTTTTGCAAAAACCACTTTATCAGTTTCTATTTTTGCATCGTAAAGCAGGTTGGCTTTTGGACAACGTGGCTCGCAGCTTTCATGGCTTCAGAACAACTTGCAATATGCATGTTACTAAAAAAAAAAACAAACTAAAACCTCATCATGATGAAATATATTTAAGAGTCCCATAATGCCTGAATTCCCTCTTCCTGTCACAACCATGGGCATGTCACAGCAGTTATCGTGCTGCCAGGCCATTGCCTCTGGAGACCAGGCTCACCCTTTGCCAATTTGGTGCCTCGAAGACCTTCAGAGTCCAAGGCAAACACCAAGAGATACTTCTTTCAAGACATGGGCAGAGGTCCTGCTCCACATGTATTCCTCCCTGCGCTCTGACTGTCTGTGTCCCTTTTCTCCTCACCCACCCAGGGTGGGAGCTCCTCCAGGCTCTTGCTGGCATGAGCTGCGCTTGATGGGGCCCTTTGTGCAATCCCACCCTGCCAGATGAGGGGCTGCAGGGGCTTTTGCCTCCTCAGGAAGGGTTCTTCAGTTTATACTCCTGCCTGCAGCATCCAGAGAAGCACCAGATGCTTGGACCTCCATACCCAAGGCCAACTCTGCTCCATGCAGGAGGCTCCTGGCAGCACCTGTGTGAGAGCTGGCGAGGGGCTGTGCCAAGGTCTAGGTGCTGTGGTGCTGTCACTCTGGTGCAGGGTGTTGGCATCAGGTGTGAGAACTGCTCTCTGTACCCTGTCACCCTTCTTCTCTTGGTCTCTGGCAGTTGCTGACCCTGTTAGATGAGCATATGGTCCACTACAACCCACAACCCGCCAGCCCCAGTGGCGAGAGAAGCAGAGCAGACTGATCCACTGCAGGGGGACTTCATCAAAGGGTTCGGTGAGGAGCAGTTGGGTGACTCTGCTGGCTCCTAAACTGGGCTCCCGTGTGATGGATGCCTTGGCCCCCCGTGATGCTGTGCATCAGCCCAGCCACAGGGTGCAGCCCAATGAGGTGGGCCTGGGGCACGGGCACCCAGGTCCCAGCTGAGCTGTCACCTGAGTAGCAGCAGCAGCAGATGGATGTGGAAAGCCTTTAAATTCAGCACATGATCAATACTAAACTGATCTTCTGGAGTCTCTTATAAAATTACCCCAGCCTCATGCATCTAATTGTAAAAAAATCACTCAGCACGCTAGGGAGGTGTGAGAGACGCTGCAGACCCCATTTAGGATGCACAGAGACAGAGTAAGTGACTTTACAATTGTTTCTTGCAGTAAATAATTCATCCACTTTACATTTGGTTTTATTGCTACCCCCGTGCCTCTGCCTTTCTACCAGTTTCCCTCCCTTGTCTTGAAATTCCCATACTGGGTAGTTTCTGTCATTGTGATTCCCTGCCACATGCACGTATGTGTGTGCTTGTACACACACACACTGAGACACAAGCCTGTCCCAGTCCAACTTTTACTGATTGCTGTACCAGGAAGAGCAGTGCTGGGGTAGAAAAGATGCATTTTAACTGCTCAGCCCGGTCCCTGGCCTGGCTTTGCCACCTTGGTCTCTGCCCCAGCGCTGCTTTCGCGTGGTGCCAGCATACAGAACTGTTTGGAATGCGTTAATGACGCTAATAGTATTTCTATACTAATTAGTAATGCTATTTGAACAAACTCTCTCTTTATGACACAAATTATCAGCCAGCCAGGTGCCGAGTGAGGGCTGCAGCTGATGCGCAGAGTGTGGCCATGAGGGGGTAGAAACCTGCCCTGGGACAGGGCTGTGGCAGGAGCTCCTCACCTGGCACCCATCCCAACACCCCAGGCTTCCCCACGCAGTCAGAGCCAGGAGGGACAAGGCAGCAGCTGGATGGGACCTGATATGTGGGGTACGTCACATCTGGGCTAGGCTGCCTGGTGGGCTCTGTCCGGATCACACACACTTAGCAGTGTGGACTCCAGTGGGCTGAACTGGGTGGCTTCTGTGTCAACGCCAGTTGCTACAGCTTCTAAAAACAGGTTGACAGGAGTCCCTGCCATGGGATGGAGCTTGTCTGGCCCCGTCAGCTGAGGCGAGGCTGTTATGGGCATCTCTGGAGACCTTGGCAGCACACTAAGCTCCTGGAGCATCCTGCTTCTGGGTAGTTTTGTGGAAAAGACTGAGGCTGTTGAGGGTTAGAGTTGAGGGTTAGAGTCCCTCAGGCATGAGATGATTTGCCAGTTTTTGACCAACGCTGCTCCTTGTGCAGGAATGTGTCTGCCAGTGGGTTGCCTCTCCATGAGGTGTGAATCCAAGGCCCCCAGTGCCATGGGCATGGAGTGTCTCCCAGCAGCTCTGGGTGGCACCTGCACATCATGGGCAGTGTCCTCATGGGCAGAGTGACCTCTAAGCTGGGCAAAGGGAGGCTCCACCTGACCATGGCCTGAGGTTGCTTGTTATGTCCCATCAGCAAAGCCTGGTCCCTAATCTGGGATCCCACCAGGGTGGGGAGGGTAAGGAGGTGCATGCACAGCCCTGCTGGCCCCCCACCACTCCGTGAAGGGGGATGGAGGAGCACAGGGCAGGCACCTGGCATCTCTGTGGTCTCTGGGACCAGTCCCTGGAGCAGAGCACTCCGGATAGCCCTGCTGATGACAGAAGGTGGCACTCAGCTCCTCTGGAGCCATCCTCAGGGCTCTGAGTTTGCTTTCCATCCAAGACGTGTGCCTGGGCTGGACCTCACACACTTCCCGTGGGCTTAGGCACGCAGTGCCCATGGGGCTGGTTGCCAACAGTCCCCCTGGGCCACCAGACAGCAGTCTGTGGGTCTGGGGCTGTCGTGGCCGCATCAGGCTGAGCTGACAGGCCTGGTGTGAAACAAGACAAATGGGCTGAACTTGGTGAAAATGATTCTAATTTATAATCTGCTGCTTTGTGGAGCTCCTCAATTAATTCTCTCTCGATACATAAGTAGGCCACATGTTTGCTTTGCTTCAAATGTAATAAACATTACACTCTGTCCCCTGCTTTTGGAGCTGGTTCCTGTCAGAGCATTAGTCCCTATAGCTAATTCCTCACACCTGTCTCCCGGGCTCCTGGGACCTGGGCTGAGCACGGGGCGGAAACGCCAGGCTCCAGGAAACTTGTGGCACAGAGAGATAAATTGCTGATCAAAGGGCTAGTGCACGGTGCCGCTGAATATTTAGTTGCAGGCAAGGCAGCCCAGCCTACCGGGGAAGGGGCTTTGTTCCCGAGGAGCTCTTTGCCTGGCTCCGCTCCGTGGGGCGAGCAGCTGGGCTGGGATGAGGTGCTGGGATCGGCTTCCCAAGGCAGTGGTGGAATCACCTTTCCTGGAGGTGTTTAAAAGATGGGTAGATGTGGTGCCGAGGGACGTGGTTTAGTGGTGGTTTTTGTCATCGTGAGGTCGATGGTTGGATTCAGTGATCTGAAAGAAATTCCAGAAATTCTTTACTGTGAGGGTGGTGAGGCACTGGAACAGGTTGCCCAGAGAAGTTGTGGATGCCTGTGACGGTGCTCACTTCCATCTGGTTTGATGGAATTATGGGTTATTGATTGCTGCGCAGAAAAGTGGGGGCAGCTCACTTGGCACCATGTTTTCACCACCCCCGGAGGAAAGAGAACTTTAAAAACCAATTTAGAGTGTAGTCTAATAGTGAATTTCAGCCCCCCTGCCTCTAACAGCCAGGCCTTTCTCTTCCCTCTCACCTCTGCTTCCCCCTCGCATCCACAGCTTCTCTGCTGGCATCTCAGTGCCAGCAATGCTCTTGCCTGGCCTTGGGCTCCTGTCCTGCCCTGGCTGGTCCAGAGCCAGCCACACTTGCTGATGGACCAGAGCCAGCTACTCTGTGTCCTGCAGGGTGCTGGCTTCTCCCTCTGCACCACAGGACCTGGTTCTGTGCTCGCCGTAGGCATGAGGAGCCCAAAGCATCTGACCCCACTGAGGGCACCACGCCGTGGGGGTGAGCATTCACTCTGCGCTCCCTGGGGAGGTCTTCTAGCAGGAGGAGCTGTGTTGAGGGCTTTCCAGACAGAGATGCCAGCCTGGTCTCGGGGCACATGGACCCCCCCCCCTTTTCCTGGAGCCCCAGGCTCTGGCACTCGGCTGCCCCGTGCAGGTCTGCCAGGGAGAGGAGCCAAGCAGCGGCTGTTATCAGGCTCACACAGACCTTCCCATCTGGCTGCTCTTCTGAGGAGCGATCCACGCTCCCCGCAGGTGCCCGGCAGCCTTCTCCAGGAGGTGCAGCTCCTCTCTCTGCAGAGCCTTGGTGAGAAACAGTCTCAGCCTGCCCCCTCTGAGCCAGGTTGGTGCAACCCCAGCAGTGCCTGCAGCCCCGTTTCTCCTCTCAGATCTGCAGATGGGAGCTGATACCCAGCCCTGGGATTTGTGTTGGAAGCTCGAGCTATGTTGCAAGAGGCTGGGAACACGAAGCTCAGCCTGCGCCTGGGTCCAGAGCATTGGGGATGGAGAGCTGGTGGGCTGCAACAAGAGGATGCACAAGGCCCTTGAGACTCTAAAGCCACCACTTCTCCCGGCTGCTGTGGGGCACAGTCCTCCCCTCTGCCCTGCAGGGATCTGCCAGGACACTGAACACCTGGGATCAGGGATGGTCAGTGTCTGTATCTCTCTGTCCTCCCCACAGACATTTGCAATCTGCTGCTGGAGCAGGTGAAGATGAAGGTGAAGGAAGAGCTGCCCACCTGCCTGAATGGAGCTCAGACTGAAGACCTTCCCTGTGGTGCAGTCAAGTTCAGTGGCTGCAGAGCAACTGAGACTGAGCCAGGGCATTGCCATCTCTCCTCTGTCTCCTGAAGCTGTCCCCACAGCTTGGAGACTGAGGTGGGCTGCAGCTGTGCCACTGCAAGAAGATGCTTCTGCATGGCACAGGGCAAAGCAGTGGTACCCTTGGGTGCCCGTCCCTGGCAGATGAGGAGGGGTGTTGGCTCCTGGGGACCTCTGCCAGGACACGTTTCCAGGCCTGAGATGGGAGTGTTTCTCCCTGATGGATGCAGTTTGTTTCAGAGGTGATGGAGCAGACTGAAGCTGGGGGGGAAAGGGGGCAGCCAGGCTGGTGGAGCAAGACATTTTGAACGCTTTTCATTCTAGCTCTCTGCAGCCCGTGCCTTGCCAGGAGCTGCTCTCTGTTTTCAGTTAGCTCTGTAATTGTGTTAGATCCCAGTAAACAAGGGCGTTCCAAGTGTGTTGCAAGAGCCAGGGCAGCTCTGCACATCTTGGTCATGTCCCTGGGGACCGGGTTGCTGGGTGCTGCTGGTGCCGTGACACAGCTGCTCCACACCTTGGCTTTGGGGATCCCCCAACACCTTCTCTGGGGAGATGGAGCCAGGGGTCTGGCTGCGGAGAGGGAGAGGACAATCCCCTGGCTGCCACCCTGGGGAGCAGGACTCTGCCCTCAGCCTGGGCTGGATGCTCCCAGCACAGCTCTGCTCCCTCTGCCTGTGGTTCCTGCTCTTTTCTCACCCCATCTACACCACAGAGAGAGGACGAAGGACCACAATGGCTTAGAAGAGGTAACGGAGCTGAGCACCAGGACCACCATCAGCCTTCTCAGCCTCGGGTTCCCTCATCTTTCTTGGTATTCCCCTCATGCTCAGAGAGCTGCCAGTGTCAGCCCCTGCTTGCACCCAGCTTCCCCATCCTGCCCTGGCTCCTGTCCTAAATATATTTTTACATTTTATGACTCTCAGAGGTTTTTAAATTTAATGGGTTCTTTTTTTTTTTTTTTTCTTTCTTCCTTCTTATCACCTGAGCTGGATCCTCTCTGAGCTGCTGCCAGCTCCAGGGATTACAAGTGAATAATTTAGGTCTGATGGTACGTTTGAAGTTTAAGAGAAGGAAGTGGCATGTGTAGCCTGCTCCTCATCCTGCCCCAGGGCCATGGCACAGGCTGCTGCTGTTTCTCCAAAGGTAATTTCAAGGATTCCCTAAGGAGCCCCACTCTCAATATTGCATGGCCCGACTCGGGCATGGCCTTCTGGATCCTGGCAGCCTGGAGACCAAGGCTCCCAAGGCAGCACAAGGGCAATGGGCTCCTTTTCCCCAGCTGCCCTTCTGGGCTGCAAGTTCCAAGCCCCAGCACTGAGGGATGGCTGGGTGCACCACGGACTGAACCTCAGCACCATGCCCATGTGAGGGACTCAGGGCTTTTCTTGCCAGCTCAGGGCCAGCAGGGGTTAAACACCAAACCAATGTGTGTGTCTTGGCAGCTCTGGAGCACAGTGAAGAAGACAATGGAGAAGACATGAAGAAACATGACCTGCTGGAGAGCTGACATGGGCTGGCTGCTGCTGGGCGAAGGAGTTACCTCTAGGGTTACCAGCCTGTTGTCTCCAGGTACTGGTGGAGGAAGGAAGGACGTGCTGAGCAATGGCAGTGCAGAGCTCTTGGCTGGCCTGCTCATCTTTGCTGCTTGGCTCTCCCAGGGAGCACTGAACATCACGGGGTCCGGCAGCAGAAGAGACTTCCCTCCCCGTGTCCCATGGGGAGAGAGCTGCCACCGGTGGTCTCTGTGGTCTGTGCTTGCACAGTGCCAAGTGTTGCTAGTTCTCAGGACAAGGGGCACAGAAAGATACCCTGGGAAATTAATTTTAACCCCCAGCAATTCACCATTCAGAAAGGTAAGTGACTTTTGTCAGGGCTGGTTCGGTAGCAGCCCCAACAGAGGCAATCTTTTCCTTACACACACGCTCCTCTTTGCAAGGTGGCTCTGACAAAACATAAGCATGAACTTTAGTTGTTTCCAGGAGCTCTTGGAAGAGCTAACAAGCGTATCACAGGGTCCAGCATTAAATCCTTCCCTGCTGGGATGCAGCAGAGAACGGAAACTGTCAGGCAGTTTGAGATCCACTTAACAGCAATTAGTGCAGATGAAAGAAGCACTAACGCAAAAGCCCCAGTCTCTCTGTGCCTCGGGTGGGAGGAGGAAAGGAATGTGTAAGAGAAAATGTAAACATGACAAAATGTGGCTGTGTATCCCACAAAACAATGAATCATTTTAACTTTTCCAATCCTTTTCATGCAAGCAGAAACAGTCGATCAATATGTGACAGAATTAAAGACCTGCAGTAAAGCCTTGGAGCTGAGGATCTGTGAGAATTGTGAGTACAGAGTAATCTGTGGAATTCTGCATACAGCATGAAGGGAAAGGCAAGTGTGTGTACAGAGGCCAGATGGTGCAACAGCAGAAGTCTGCTGGGCAAGAGGACTCCTTTGCCCACCCAGAGGAGCACCCGTTGGAGAGGAGAAACCATCACTGGCAATGGATATGGAGCACCTAGAGAAAGTAAGAGTATTTCCCAGAAAACTCCGAGTTACAACAAATGTGGCCCTAAACCACATCCTTGTAAAAGTCTGCGGTGTGACTCAGAATGTGTGTGTTCATAAAAGCTGCAGCCATAGCCACGGCTCTGGAGGATTTTTGGCCAGGAAGAGCATCTCATAGACTTTACCAGTGGTGAAAAGAGTCGGGAGATGCCATTCCATGACTCTGTGCCACAGCTGACTTCAAGACAAAGGCTGTTTCAAGGTAGATTAGTGGGTGATATCCCTGGAAAAAGGAAAGGCAGGCACACAACAGCTAAACAGGTGAATACTTAGTTATGTGCACACAGGGTGTGATGGACCTATTGAACCCATTCTAAAAGTGTCTACACTGGGCCATTTGAAAAGCAGTAGGGAAGACACAATTGCCCAGTTTGGAAACACTAAAAGTTTTAGAAAGTTAGCATCATTCTCTGGATCATGGTAATTGAGTGAGCTGAGGAGCTCAAGATGATGCACTTACAACAGGTCTTTTGGGAGGTTCAGATTCCTGCCGTTGCTCTTTGGGGAAGCTGGAGAAGTTTACCACATGGGCAGAGAAACCTGCTACTGGCAAAAGCAGGACCGTAGACGGCACAGGGAAAGCAGAACTTTGAAGAGAACTCAGACCAACAGGGGCTGCCAGGGGATGATGGAAGCCGAGGACTGACTGGGTGCAGAGATATTGTCTGTTAAAAGCAGTGGATCTAACAGTGGTGGTGGCTGAGCAGGATTTGAGTCAGAGGGGACTGGCCATGATGAAGGATAAGCAGAGCTGGGTCTGACGCTGCACCTTCTGGGTGTAGGCACTGGACAGGGCTTCCTTTCTCTTCAGCATAGGAGGCCTTTTCTGGTCCCTCCCAACCACATTACGGTGGTCTTCCCAGTGCAGAGCACAAATCCTTCAGAGTGCTGGGCTCAGCACTAATGTACTCCAGAAGCAGTCAGATCACTCTGCCTTTCTGGGCTGGGAGTCCAAAGATCGTCCTAGTACCAGAAATAAACAACTATTTTCCAGCTTGCATCCTCCCCTCAGCTTTTTGCAGCCAGATTGTGGCTTTCACTGCGCCACAGTTCTCCTACTATTGTTATGGGAAAACTGTGATTGCTTTGAGCTCTTTCTCTCTGCTCCGGTGTCAGGGCCACAGAAGAGCGTGTGTGAGAGAGTGAGTGTGTGTGCACGTGTGTTTGCTAGGGAGAGGATGACAAAAGGAGGCTGTATGATGCTCCTCCTGCCCATTAGCCTTGTCCTAAGCTTTCCATCTGACTGGGACCCTTGGATGCAGCCTGGATTGATAGCCCAAACCTCTGCCTTTCCTCCGTTTTCTTTGCTCTGCTTTGTTATATTGCGAGTCTAGAGCACAGCCTCAGTTATCCACTCTCTTGCAACACCTGGGTGGTGAAGCACGCATCTGGCTGTAGGTCTTGGGAGCAAACAACTTGAAATGAGCTCCTGTGCCACTGATGGAAGGGCAAACACATCCCACAGCAGGGTGTCATTCTCCCCGGCTCACCTCTCGGTCACGCTGCCTGCCCGCCCGCCAGCAGAGCCAAACACTTGCCACCGGGCTTTCTTCAGGACGCACTCTGGGACTGGCCCAGCAAGGAATGACTGCTGCAGATAACTGCCCCAACATTTAATTTTTATAGTCTGAGTGGCAGGATTTCATGCTGGGCACAACCAGCAGTGGAGATGAAAGCTCGAAGCCAAATAGACATCACAGAGCCAGTACAAATGCTATTTATTAAAGAAATGCCTGGATTGCAGAGGAAGCAGAAAGGTGCGTCTTGAAAGGAACCTTTAATGCCTGTGAGTGAAAAGCAACAAGGGCTGGGGAAGAAGGCGAGCTGCCAGAGGCACCAGCGAATGGACCCGGTCCTGGGGTGAGGTGGCAGCAGGAGCACGAGGCTGGGAGCCAAAGGGTAAGTCGTGCTGCTGCTTCTGTAGCCATAAAATCAAGAGCTGGGTGAAGGGGGTGGCCAAGCTGTGCTGAGGGGCAAGAAGGTGCTGCTGGGGAAGGGGACATCCCCAGGGTTCCCCGAGGAACTGCCGTTCTCTGCTATGCTTCTGTGCAGAAAAATTAATAACCGTGCCCTCCTGCCAGCAGGGTGTGAGGCTTTTCTGCTCCCTTCAGCAGCAGAGCAGGACTCCAGCTCCCACCTCGTGGTCCAGATGGAGTGTCTCAGCTGCTGAGCTCACCTCCCCATCTCTTCCCAGGCTGTGGAAGGGCTCCAAGCCCTCCTTCCCCCATCACCGCAGGGGCCTGCCCCATGCAAGGACACATTTCCCCCTTCAAACAGTGAACCAGTCCCTTGCTTCCAGCTGTACATACTCTGGCCAGGCTCAGGACACTTATGGGGTGGGCACCACCCAGGCCACCCTTGCCTTCCACATCACCTCCCTGCCCTCAGACCTTCATTTTCCCTTGGTAGCCCCCAAATGATGGCACACCAGCCGCTCACATGCATCCCTGTCCCCAGCCCTGGAGTCACTCTGAGCAGCAGAATCTGCTGCATTAGGTCGATTTCAAGAGCCCCTCCAGGTCAGTTAGCAATTACCTGCACCAGATACACGCTTGGAAAGGAGCTTCTGATCTCTTCAATGCACTCGTTTTCCTCTTTCAATTTCAAATTCGCCTCACTGGAAATAGGCACTTCAGCCTCTTTTACAGACCATGGTAAATTAGGATTTCGTCCAGTTCTGTTGGTTTTGCTGATATAGATGTTTTTCCCTACAGAGGCAATGCCACGGCCAATCTGAGGTGTGTCCAGACCCCCTCCATCCGAACTCCCCCAGCTGAGCCTGCAGGTGATGTCATGGTCCACAGAGTGTTTCTGCACAGACCCTGGCCCTGGCACATGCTGAGGAGCCTCTCCTGGGATGGGCACCCTGGTGCCAACGCTCTTGGTATCAATTCAGAGTGGTGGCTCATGTTGTTGAGACATGGCCAGTGAGCAGAGGCATTCCCTCCCTTAAAGAGTCAGCTGCAGTGCATGTCTCCAATCTGCTGGCTCCAGTCTTGTCCTGGAAGGAAAAGGACTGGAAAAGAAGGACAGCCAGTATCTTTGTGTCTGTCCTTACCCTTGTGTGGAAACTTGACTGCCAACAAGTTGTCACAAAGATGCTCTCTACAGTGACATCCTTCATGCTGGGCTCTTCCAGCGTAGCACTGGTCACACTGTGGGAGTGCTCCGGCTGGTTCCTTCTGCTGCTCAGCTAAAGAAGACACGTTCTCCTGCTCCTGCCCAAGGACAGGCTCCCAAGGGAAGGGACCTGCGCTGCAATCTTGCAGCTGGTGCATCTGTAGCAGCCTCTGGGGCCACTGCAGAGCCATCTCCTAGCCCTCCCCTCCAGGGGTTCAGCCAGGAGGGGCCAGGGCCAGTTGTAGTCTTGCCACTGGTGCATCTGTGGCATTCTCTGGGGCCACTGCAGAGCCATCTCCTAGCCCTCCCCTCCAGGGGTTCAGCCAGGAGGGGCCAGGGCCAGTTGTCTGCATGGAGGACACTGGGGAAGGGGTCTGGCAGTTTGCTGCTGGCCTCTCCGTGGGGCTCCTGGGGCCTGATGTGGTCACACGACGCCCTATCCCCAACAAGTGGCTCAGTGCTCGGAGGCAGAAGCAATTTTACATAAAGTTCAATTAAATATTTGCTTTATAATTGCGCAACAAATTATTCATAAAGGCATTGGAATCTAATCACAAGGCTGACACCGTGGAGTCTGCAAATGACACAGTACTTGGGGAGAATAAAGATGGGGGGGGGGAGCTGCCAGGCTCTGGTGACAGGCAATGCCTGAATGTGTGGGACAGTGGGAATGCTCCCAGGAAAAGGCTCGAAGAGGTACCAAAGAGGCTCGGCAAGGCAGGGCCGTTTGGCTGGCAGGAGGAAGTGGGGTGGCATGTGAGAAATTGCTCTGGGCAATAGTTTGGGGTGTTTGGTCCATGAGTGCCCAGAAAATTTGGGGCAGCGCTGGGCTGTGCCCCCCCCAACCAAGTTACCTGCACTCCAGCTTGGTGTGGGCAGGCTCGGTGGTGTGTTAGGGAGTGTGATCAACTCCTCATGACCTGTGTGATCACAGAATTGCTGCCTTCAGCTCTTGCCCCCATCTCCAGCAGCAATCACAGGGGGTGCCCAGGCCTCTCCCAAGCCGTGGGGTGTGAAGAAATGCGTGTGGTGCAACCAGCCTGCAGGGTCCATCTTTCTAGACTGGAAAAAGGCAGGAGGCAACCTGGGCATGTAATGTGGCCTCCCACATTGCAGCCCCCAGGAGACAGCCAGCATGAGGCAAGGATATGCTGCTTGCAAGAGGTGGCTGCTGACGTGACCACCCAGGGACCTTCTGCAGAGAGTCGGGCAGGAGGACTTGCTTCCATGCAACCTTCATGGCATCCTGAGCTGCAGCTCTGGGAGCAAAGCCCTCTCAGCCGGTCCTAACACCCCGTGTTCAGCTCCTTTTGGGATGACCTTGGAGGGCAGCAGACTGAATCTCACACCCCATGAAGAGCCCGACCGGTGGGACTGGGCTATGTGAGTCTTTGTGTTGCTGAGATGAGGTGAGAGAATGAAAACCCATCTGCTGGGCAGATGCCAGGTGCTGCTTTGCCTAGCAAGCACCCATCCCTCCCAGATTCTGTCCCCTGCTGTCATCCTGGGCAGTGGGCTGCAGACAGCCCCTGTCCTGCCAGGGAGAAGCCCTGCAGGGCGCCCAGCATTAGGCAGGTTCTGACTGACAGGGGAGCTGGATCCTGGACAGAGAGCTGGACTGGAGATGGATTGCCTGCCAGCCAAATGTGGACATTAGACAGGGAGTTAGATTAATGGGAGCTGGCTCTGCCAAGAGAGAGGTGAGTCACAGAGCTTGTCCTGTGCTGAATCTGTTTCTCCAATAGGGAAGAAGTAGGAGGATTTAGCAAGATTAATCTCTCTTATAGAGTTGTGAGAATAGCCAGGATTCATGGGCTTCTCAGCAACAAATTTTCAATAAGGAGACAGGACTTTGACTTGCTCCATGTGGCACAGCACAGATCTGTACTGGTAACACTGGAATTCCCTGCCACTGGTCACAGGTAAGATCCACCATACTTGTGTGCTCACACATGAACCCTGCAAAGCACAGGCTGCACAGAAGCACTCAGGAAGCAGGGGCTCAAAAGCCACTTTTTCCTTGAATTTTCCTGAAGTCGTCATCTGCAGCAGCACTACCCCAAACAACGCTGGACCCTGCACACAACAGCTGAGAAGGTGGTAAGAAGGATCTCCTTTTGGCAGCTGGGAGGGGTTGGTGACACATCATCTGGGAGAACTTGCCAGGTCTCTGCCGTCTTTGCACGCAGGAGGAGCAGGGAGCAGGACTGGACAAGAGCCAGAGCATCTTTCCTGGTGTGATCAAGGCTTCCCTCTGGCTAACAGTCTGTGATACAGCAGGAACGACAGACCTGGCCGGAGCTGCTAGGGAGAGGGGAGGGAGAGCAGGTCAGTCATGGCCACGTCTGGGCAGGAGGTGATGGGGAGCTCTTGGGCACCCCTTTTTCTGCCCCTCCCAGCACCAAACTCACCAGGAAGAGGAAATCTTGGTAAGCAGTACCTGTTTACGGGAACTGTGGAGAGAGAACCTCAGTGCCAGTGAACCAGGGAGATTTTCTTGGAGAAAGCAGATTTCCATCCCATGTTGGAAGTCCTCTTTCTTACTGATATTTCTTTAGTTGTTCGTGTCATGGCTCTTCAGTCTGAGCAGTTTTACAAACGTGTTGTGGAGATGAAAGCACCAAGGAAAGCTGCTCAGGATCAAGTTGGAAAAGCTTTTAACTTTCAACTCCTCACAGACAAAGGCACACAAAAGAGAGGGGAGAAGGAGGGCAGTGCAAATACTGGGAAAAGGAAAAGGAAGGAGCAAAAAGAGATAAGGAGAATAGATGAGTGAAAGAGACAGAGCAGAGAAGAAAAATCACAACAAGAAAAGGAACAAGTGACTAGCAGAAAGAAAGGGAGAGATAGCGAGAGAACAAAGCAAAGGGGCCTGGAGCTCAATGAGATGGGGAAAGTATATCAGAATACGGGAAGAGTGCTGCAGGTAGAGGAGAGCTAAGAAATACAAAAGAGCTATTTGAATGCTGGGATAAAGCAATGATGGGAATAAGAGGAAAGGAGAAGCCAGGTGAGGACTACATTCCCATGGAGATAAAGGGGATGGCAGCAAAGTCAAAGGATAAACCCACCCGTCCTTCTGTCACTTGAGAATAGAAGACATGACGTGAAAGCGACAGGTCGATTTTTGAGAGAGGTTGTGGGATGGAGCTGTGGAGGCTGTGTTCAGGGTTCACACCTGTGGGGAGCCACGCTCACAAAAGGAGTGATCGTGTCACAGGTGGTCCTTCTTCCCCTGCTTTGCATCCTCCGTCATCACTTCCCCACAGGTGTGACCTGGGCATACTGTGAAGCATTGCTGATTTTGGGTCTCACAGAAGGACCATCACAACAACGTGCCTTGTTACAGTGCTCTCTGGGGCTCCTTTGGGAGCTGGGCTGGGGCAGGCCTGGCTGGCCTTACCAGCACCCTGCAGGGCAGCAGCAGGAGGGCATAGAATCATAGAATTATAGAATTATAGAATGGTTGGGGTGGGAAGGGACCTTTAAAGGTCATCTAGTCCAACCCCCCTGCAATAAGCAGGGACATCTTCAACTCAATCAGGCATGGAGCAGCTGTGACACAGGGGAGGGGTGATGGCAGGAGGGTCAAACCTTCCCTGGCTCCAGGGCAAGGGAGCCTTAGCAAAAACAGAACGGAAAGGGCACCACAACTATGGATAAGATTTGGAACCATCTCCACCCAGTATCACACCATCTTATTGGATGCTTTCTGCCAGGTGGGCTGAGCTCCATCTGCGCTGCCACCGCACTGTGAGAGGCAGCTCTTGGCTGTCCCAGGGAAAGGATCTGGGTGTTCCCAGCGCCTGTGTCAATGCTGGCACAAGAGCCTAGCAGCTGTCCTAGGGCTGGGCTGGCATTGAGCGAGGCCTCTGTTTGCAGACAGCGTCAGCGGTGGAGCAGCTGTGCTCCAGGCTCTGCTCCTTTCCCTACAAGAGCATCAGGCACAAGTGGGATCTACTTTGGCAGCAGTGCTTGCAGCTGGGAGGCTTCTCACTCTCGCACAGGGATTGAAGACATTTCTAGATGCTTCCACGTCTGAAGGGGCTGGTATGGAGCATTTCGTGGGTCTTCTTCAGGGCGAGGGTGGGAGTCATGCAGTAGTGTGAGGATGGGAAGCCTGATGCCAGCCAGTGCCAAGGTGGGGAGGACGGCTGCCTGAGCCTGCTGCTGGATCCGTGCTCTGCTCCTCTCTTGGTCCTGGAAAGGAGGAGTCACTCCTCCTGGATTCATGCTGTGGTTGTGAACCGCTCTCTTTCCATCCACCTCTCCCTGACCTGCAGGCCACCTGCCTGTGCAGGAAGCACCAGATCCAGGTGGTTTGTGGATAACCTGCCGCTGGGTTACCACTGTTTCTTGGCAAATATTGGCCCAGCAGAGGATTTGTTTGCCTTCTGCAAGGTGCTGAACACATGGAGCAATAGGACATTCCCCTTCTCTGGTGTTCCCTTGTGTTCCTTCCAGGGCCAAACTCCAAGGCGTAATACCAGAGACTGCTGTGGAAGCAGGGGAGCATTTTCTCCAGGTAAGATGTGAGACCCTGGACAATGGAAACTGGAAAATGTCCCACTGGGGGCTGTTTGCCTGAGTTGTGGTTAAACCCTGACTTGCATGATCAGATTTATCTGTCCCAAAATGATATTGCAGCCTCACCAGTCTTGAGCTTCTTCCCAGCTTCCACCTTCCACCCATCCTGATCGTGCCCAGAGCGGTCTGTAAACCTGGCACTCTGCTGTGGATCCTGCTGGTGTGTGACTCCCTGCTGCGGGTGACAAGCTGTGTTCCTGCCCCTGTGTCCCCAGGGTGCTGCTGAGCCTGGGTGGTGCCCGCCGTGCTTCAAGCAGGGCTCTGGAGGAGGCACCTGAGACCTGAGTTGGGTGCTGAGGGTGCCAGCTGCCATGGCCCCCCAGGTGACATCAGGAGGGGGGTCTGCCAGCCCCAGCCCCTGCAGTGCCCGGAGCCCAGAGACCCTTCCAGAGCTCCTGCCAAGCTGCTGCTGAGCCACCAGCATCTGGCCCCGTTTAAGGGCTGGGGGAGGGTGGGCTGGGGTCTCCCTGCCCTGCTGGATGCCCTGGCACCCCGGCCCAGCGCTACGCTCCCATGCACAGAGTTTGTGCGTTCTCAGCCCCGCCCGGTCTGAGCGGGGGGAGGCAAGTTGTGCCCCCCGTCCCCAGCTCATCCCCGCCTCCGGGGTGGCCGCTCCCGCTGGTCCCCGGGCAGGCTCGGTGCGGGGGTCAGCGGAGGCGACGCGGGTGCCCGGGGCGGGGGGACGGCAGGGCAGGGTGAGAGGGGCCACCGAGGCAGGGAGGGGGCCAGTCTCCGCGGCGGGGTCCCCAGGGCCGGTCCCCGCAGCCGGTCTGAAGGGGGGTCCCCAGGGCCGGTCCCCGCAGCCGGTCTGAAGGGGAGGTCCCCGGGGCCGGTCCCGGGAGCGCGGGGGGGGGAGAAGGGGGGGGAACCGGGCGCTGCATTCTCAGAGTCTCCAGCAGAGGCTGGGCTGGGCTGGGCTGGGCTGGTGGGGAAGGAGGGAAGGAAGGGAGCGAAGGAAGCGAGGGGGAGGAAGGCGGCTCTCGCCGCACATGCATCCCCAGCCACACACCCCGCCGCCCGCGCCCCGCCTCGCTCCGCACTCGCCCGGTGCCGGCTCCGCTCGCCACCGCCTCCCGTCGCGCCGGGGCTGCCATCCGCCGCGGGCCGGGGGCTCCGAAGCTGCCGCCGTATCCCCTCCCCGCCCGGCTACCGGGGCTCCGTGCCCGGGGATGCCGCGGGAGGCCGAGAGCCCCGCTCGGGGGGGCCGCCGCGGCCGCCGCCCCAGGTAAGCGCCGGTGCGGGGCGGAGGGGAGGGGAGGGTGTGTGTGCGGGGGGAGCCCAACTTCTCCGTCCCTCGCCGCGCCGCAAACTTTGCCGCCGCTCGGCGGGGCTGCGGCTCCCCCCGCCCCCC